CCCCTCCCTCCCCCTTTAGCGGGAGGGCTGAAGTTCCTTTCCTCTGCTCTTCGGGACGTAGGCAGCTGTGAGCCCGGCACTTCGTAAAGGCCGCCGGGCCTCCTTCCCAGGCCGTAGCCTAGGTCGCCGTCGGCCATGTCCTCGGCCGCCTCCCGGGCCCGCGCGCCCGCCTCGCTCGGGGGCCTGGCCGCCCCGCTCATCAGCCAGCTGCCGTCCTCACCATAAGGAGCGACGGGTCATCTGCAGTTAAGAACAGCGGTAGTTAAAACACCGTCAGTAGAAGAAAGTTGGGTTTCCCAGGGGAGAAAAGTTCCTTTTTGTGTAAGCACCGGCACACAAACGCCATCCAATTCAACATTTCAGGACTTTTTAGGTGAGAAAAATTCCCACTTCTTAGCTCAAAGATGCAGCGAATGGTAAGGAAGCAGGAAAGGCTGTTACTGAGTAATTTACTGACCACGATAAAGCACATGGGTCTCTGCCAAGGAAACAGAACACTCTGGATACACAAGCATATAAAGGAAAGAGTTCCATTTTCACAAGCCTAAGTAAGAGCTATATAAAATTCAGGCAAGTCTCTGAAAAACGAGCCTTCCAGTGACTAAGGTCATCCCGCCTCTGTCCTTCCACAGCCCTTTACTCAGCTAGGATGCTCAGGCCTTTGCGGTTTCTCCTACAGACCCACTTGGTTCACTTGCTGTTTCTGTGCAGACACTATTAGCAAGGGTTTTGAATATGGGACAGAGATAGGTGGGAGGGGCACAGGTGCCCCACCTCTCTCAAGTCAGATTGCCCCTGGGTTCAAAAACCAAACTGCAATGCAACCAGATGCTCATCTCTGCCTGTCCCCTCAGCCTAGGCTGACCGCCCTGGCCTCCAGGACATTCCTGCCCAGAGCTTTGTGTTATGCTCTTCCCCCAGAGTTTCATGACCTAACATACTCCTTCATATTTTACTCATTTTTCAAATCACGCCACTAAAAGGGGGAAGGTAATGCAAAAGAGGGAGCCCAGTGAAGCTGAGTGGCTCCAGCCTACCTAGGGTGCCTCTCAAGAGGTAGGGCATCCTGAAAATGTCCCCCGCCAGAGTCCAAACCTGCTCTAGAAGGCCCAAAGAGGAATGTGAGCTCCACAAGGGCAGGCGTTTTCATCTGTTTGGATCACCACTGCATTCCTAGTGCCTAAAATTGAGACATAATTGGTGCTCAATAAAGACTTGTTTAATAAAAGAACAGCCCGGTCGGGTGGCTCAGTTGGTTGAGCATCGTCCTGTGCACCAAAAGGCTGCCAGTTCGGTTCCCAGTCAGGGCACATGCCCGGGGTTGCAAATTCGATCCCTGGTTGGGGCACATACAGAAGACAATGTTTCTCTCTTTACCTCTGTCTCCCCTTTCCTCTCTCTAAGCATGTCCTCAGGTAAGGATTAAAAAACAAACAAACAGGAACAAACAAAACCCCAACAACAGAAAGAATAAAGCCAAGAAGGAATCTACAGACTGGAATCCACTTGCCTCTAGGGCAGGAAAACAAAAGTCGCCTCAGCAAGGCTGCACACTGGGCGCCACGGGCCTGCGGGCCTGCCCTTCCTGGGAGAAAGAGTCTCCAGGTAGACAGGCCCTACAGGGGAACCAGCACTGAGCCTTCTGGGTCTGAAGACCAGTTAGGCACCTACCTGGCGGCTGGAGAGCACCTGAAATGCTCAGCCTAGTACAGAGTGCAGTTAAGAGGGACTTTCACCACCAGATGTTTCAAAACAGCTGCCGCTGTAGTTATTTAGAAATATTCCCTCCTTTTCACAAGGCTCATTAAAAAAGAAGAAACGAAACTCATCTTACATATTTTTCTAAATATCCTGCTGTTTAAGTAGATGCTTACTAGGACTTTCAAAATAAATCTCAGGCTTTCAAAAGTAATTTAATCTCATTTTTCGCTAAGATGTCTCTTTTATTCTTCCGCTATTAAAACCACATATAGACACCAAGCAAATCTGATCATGTAGGAAGGGCTTTCTGTTGTTTTTAGGGTCAAAGTGCCATATATTTTCAATGCGTGAAAACAAAGGCCCTTAAGCCCTGGCCAGTATGGCTCCGTTGGTTGGAAAGTCATCCCATACACCAAAAGGTGATGGGGTCAATTCCCAGTCAGGGCACATACCTAGGTTTCGGGCTCGATCCCCCGACACGGTGCATACAGGAGGCAAATGATTGAAGTTTCTCTCTCTCTCTCTCTCTCTGCCTCTCTTTCTAAACTAAAAAAATAAAACAATAAAATCAAAGGCGCTTAAAAGATTTGAGGTAATACATCATAAAAGAAGATACAGATACAGAGATGGAAAAAAAACATCATTAGTCATCCAGGAACTGTCAATTTAAACTACAATGACAGTCCATCACCTACTACTGCCAATTTCAAGTGTTGCTGAGGATGTGGACATCCACATACTCATACTGTTGGTAGGATTATAAAATGGCACAAACACCGTGAAAAGTTTGACAGTTTCTATTTACCCAAGAGAAACAAAAACATGCTCATACAGAGATGTACGCATGAATGCTCATAGCATTATTCAAATTAGCCCCAACCTGGGAACAACCTAACTGTCCATCAATAGGAAAATAGACAAATTATAGTACATCCATACAATAGAATATATTCAGCAATAAATAACGAATTTCTGACATATGCAACAACATGGGTGAATCTTATAGATGTTATGCTAACCAAAGAACCACATACTGTATGAAATCCTGGCAAAATTAATGTTCGTAACACAATAGATCAATGGTTGCCTGGGGTGGGAAGGTGAACTTCAAAGGGCACGAGAGAACTTTTTTGGATGATGGAAAAGTCATATATCTTGACTAGAATGATAGTTTGTAAAAATGAATCCAACTGTATACTTACAATGGTGCATTTTATTATATGTAATAGTTACCTCAATAATATGACATTAAATTTTTTAAAAAACACACACACAAAAAGGGACTTTTAACTGAATTAGGGGACAAGATGAGAAGTGTGTTATTCACTTGTGCCCTCCTATATAAGAAAATTCTTAAACTGGATGCTTTAATTCAGCCATAATTTTTAGTGACATAATAGTATCTAGTTAGCACTTATTGCTTGCTTTGTGTTCTAGGCACTATTCGAAATGCTTTACTTGGATTATTCTATTTAATCTTTATAAACACTCTCTAAGACAATACTATTATTATTTTAATATAGACAGTTAAATAGAAGCACAAAACAGTTAAGAAACACAGTGATCAAGAGCCAGAGCCAGATTCTGAATCCAGACCCCTGATGTCAGAGACACTGTTACACTCTTAGCCACTGCTTTCTACCATTTGGAGAATTTCAATGAAATTAACATCAGAATAAACCAAGTTTCTATTACTTATGACATCTAATAGAACTGAAAGTAAAAGTCTAAAACAGCTAGTTTTAGCAACACTCAACACAGTCTATTGGACTCATTTTTCCCAAAAAAATGTTTGTAAAATCATCTTGGTTCCTTTACAAGTTGACTTCCTAAATTAGTAAGCTTGTTCTATTTTTATTTGCCAGGGTAGGAAATTATTATATAAGAGGCTGTGCTTTACCTCTAGTGCAGCAGATCCCTGCGTATAAATGCAACCTCACATCTCTGTTAAGGAAGGTGTGTCACAGTTAGGCAGCCAGTAGTGAAGAAAATGGAATTGGTCAACACAAAGGAAAAACGCAGTAAGAGGAAAGAACATGCAATTGCAGGATTAGCTAAGACTATTTTTTAATGCAGCACATATATTCAGGCGTCATGGAAACGTCTTCCCAGCTACTGAGAGTTGAACATGATAACCTTTCACAGGATCCAATGCTCTACTGTTTTTTAAAATGTAACTTCAGGAACTGCTGGCTGTGCACCTTCCCACATTTTACATACTAATAGTAGTATTAGTATGGAATGCAGTGAAATTAAACTTGACTTTTAAAGCACATTACTAGCATTACATTCAACTAATTTCAAATGCATTCAGTGTTGACGAACAGGTGGCAGTGGGATGTGCGCAGAGAAGGCCTGGCTTCAGGAGGTGCGGGTTCAAATTTCACTCTACTACTTGCTGTTCTGTGACCTTGGGCAAGTCATTTAACTTCTTGGAGCCTGTTTTCAAGTCTCCGAAATGGGTTTAAGCAAAAGTACTTCACAGAGTTACAGAAACTCTGTGTCTGGGCACGGCTGACATATTTGGAATCAGTGTGCAGTGAGTTAGAATTGAAGCCTTAGCTTCTTCACTTGTCAGATGAAGGGACTGGGTAAGATTTTTATTTTTTATTTTTAAAGTCCTGGTTCTATACCAGCATTCGCCAAAGTGTGCCCCATGGAACCCTAGTTCTGTGAACTATGAGGTGTTGCTAGGAATGAAAGGGCCCTTCTAGTGTTATTAAGAGACATATTTTCAATGCCAGTCCAGGTATATATGATCAGCCCCGAATTATACAGGTGGTGGCAGAGCCAGCACTAGAAACCATCTCTCTGGCTCCTTGTTCTGTAGCACGGCCACTTAGGAAAGGTGGTAGAATGAACGTACCGCAGACTGGGCGGACAATCATCCCACTTCTACACTAAAACGACTCTCTGAAAAGTGATCAGTGACTTCCTGATCGCTAAATCCAAGACCTCTTTCCTTCCTCAGCCACCTCCACTTCCACAGCTGTGCCTACTGACTCACTGAGCGCGGGCCCCTGTCCATCCACCGTGGCTCCTCAACCCTTCAATAATCCCCGACTCTCTCTTATCTGCTGGATCAGGCTCCTTTCCTCTTCCTGTCCCTTCCCTATAAGTTTGGTTTCCATTCTTAAAGAAACATCTGCAGCAGGGTATCCTGGCAGCAATTCAAACACAGCCTTTTCAAAAATAAATTCATTCCTCTCCCCTACTCCAGCTGCATCTCCTCCGGAGTCCTCTGCACATGTGGCAACCATGCTCTAAAATACCCAGGCCCAAAACACTGGATATTTTTTTCCTTCTTTCTCCTCTTTGGTACCTTCAGTTGTCAAGTCGTCTAGATCCATGCTCTCCCAAAGCCATGTCCTTCTTTGCACCTGAACTTCACAAGCCTGACTGCATTTCTTGTTGCTTCTCCTGGCCTAAACCAATAGTTCCCTAACTGATCTACTCCAAGCTGTCCTACACACTGCTGCCGAGCACAGATCCAACGATGCCTGTTGCTCCCATGGCTCCCGTGGCATATATAATAAAAGTGTCGCCCTGTTTGCTCCAAGAAGAATCCTGTTTTCACTTCCTGTTTCAACTGTCAGTACTCCCTGGGCATGCTCTGCGCTTCCATGTAAGAGGGACTGTACCTGCTCCCAGGGGGCCTCAGCCTGGTCACCTTCAGTCCTCGGCTGGGGCCATTCTCCACCCCAGGGATGCTTTCTTCTCTCAGGCCCCCTCAGTTCATGACAGCCACTCCCTCCAGGAGCCTTCCAGACTACCCTGGACCAGATGTGACTTCTCCTACCTCTGAGTCCTCCTAGTTCTGTATTACCTTTTAATAGGCCTTACTTTTTTAATTGTCACCCAAGGGTGAGGATAGTTTTTCCATTGCTTTTCAGAGTGAGAGAGAGAGAGAGAGAGAGAGAGAGAGAGAGAGAGAAACATCAATGTGAGAGACACATAGATTGGTTGCCTCCTGCAGATGCCCTGACCAGGGCTGGGATCCAACCGGCAGCTGAGGTACATGCCCTGGGCCGGAATTGAACCC